TCGTCCTGGGCCAGGCCTGTCTCCATGGTTCCAGAAAACGCACTGTCCTCTCGACAAGCAGGCAAGCACTCTGGGCTTTCTCCACCACCACCACCACCACCACCACCACCACCACCACCTACCGGCACCCAGTCCTATCTCTAACTTGCTAACCTCTCATACAGAGATTTCCTTTGGGGACGTCTGGACGACTGAAAAAGAGACCAAGTTTCAGTTAAGATGATTCCTAGTTGCTAGCATATGGGTCTCTCATTTTCCTCAATCCCCAGGCCCTTAGGGACAGAGAAATGGGAACCATTACCTCCTGTAGATCATCATCTGCAGATATGCTCCTCTGGAATGGCTGGAAAGTGGGGACTGGCCCTTTCTCAGGATCCTAAGAAGATTGTAGAGACCTACCTCAATGTGGGAGTAGGAGGCTGCCTGACAATGGGACAGAGGGATTCCTCTCCTGTCACCCTCATCTCAGCTTCCTCTGACCTATCTTTTTTTCTTTTAATTCCTTTGTACTTTTCTTATCTGATTATACGCTATTTTTAAATAAATGATCTTAATATACCCTTACAGTATTTAGTTAATCTAAACAGTTCTTCAACCTGATGACATTTCAGCCTGTTCAACCCTTTAGAAAATACAGTCCAAGAGCTCTAATACATGGGCTAGAGCCATATAGAACGTGTAAAATAGAAAATTTAGGAGTCAACCATTTTCTTAATTTTTCAGAAAAGCAATCTAAAGCTCAATGATAGAGCAATTTGCCCACGATTAAATAGGCATTACTTTTTCCCTAAACCTACCTCTATTCCAACTTGGAGGGATGCCCTCTGAAGTCAAGGGTCCCCTGAACAATCTTTCTGCTTGTGCTTACCTTTAACTTCCCCTCTAGGGTTCGAGAACGTTTGAAGCCCGAGTTCTTGGTCTCGGCCTTGATGGCACTGATGGCTCCTGACTTCACTAGCTGCTTTGCCTGCTCTGTTGCTGTGGCTGTGTCCACCACAGGCTGCTCTGACAGTGCTGGAGTGGTGAGAGAAAGAAGCATCACATTGGCCAGGCTGTGAGAGAGGTCAGCCCCGTGCGTCTTATTTCCAATCTATCCCCATTTCCCGTGACTTACAGCGTTTGACACCGCCTTGGCTGGCTGTGCTGCTGCTACTTTGCTTCTTCAGAGCTAACAATGCCTTTTTCTGGGAACAAGAATGAGAAGAGAGGAGTTGGTGAGGGCCAGTCCTTGACCAGGTCCTTTCCCAAGGTCTCTGGGCGCATCACTCCAGGGGACACCTTTCTCAGAGAAAACAATACAAATGGTGCTCCTGGAGTGGTTCATTGAGGCAGCCTGCCTCTTACATATGGTCCCCCAGATCATCTACAGTGCCAGTGATACCTAAGCTATCCAAACCACGGTATCCAAAGACTTTCCAGAGTATCACGTTTTTGAAGTTGAAGACAAGGAATTCAATCATGGACCACAGCCACAGGTTATATGCTACAACTAAGTATAAGCCTATGTGCCTTTCTGGGGGCTTCAGCCATCTATCCCTTGTATATTTAACAAGAACATACCATTCATTACTTTGTAACGGGGATATGCAAAAGTATGAAACACAATCTGAGAAGTAAAATGACTGGACTGAATAGTCAAGAATGATTATAAGAGGTGCAGACTGCTTGCAGCTGAGAACAAGTAAGATTTTCTGATGCCAAATGGCTATTACACTGGACCCTGGGTAGACTCTGCACAACAGAGAAGGTGAAAAAAAAAAAGGTATTTGAGACAAAGAAAACAGGGAGAAAAAATACGAGATAAGAAAGCTTTGGGAATGCATGTTTTGGGATTAGTGAATAGTTCTATTTTACTAGAAAGAGATGTGAACTTCAGGCTTTGTTCCCTAGACAATGTTAAACCAGTTAAGGGTTTCGAGAAAAAGAACAGTCTTGTGTTTTCAATGGATTGTTTTAATAGGAGTGAAGAAATCTGTTAAAAAAAACCACTCTGAAACTTGTTGAAAGACCATTACAACAGTCTATGTGAGAGTCAGCAAAGACCTAATCTATGGAATACACAGGAAAAAATAAACTGGAAAAATTACTCTCAAGGAAGAATGAAGAAGCCTTGGCAAATGTTTGGCTATGCAAATGAAGAAGTCAGAGATGAGATTGTGATTCCAAACACATGAGAGAACTGAATGTGATCAGTCCGTATTTGGGAGATCAAGAATAGAAACTAGGTTTATTAGTATAAATAGGAAGATGATAGTTTTAATTTTGGATATCTAAAGGTTATCAGTAAGACGACAGACAGAACTGGAAAAACCAAACTTGGGGATCACCAGCTTTAAGGCGGTACTAAAAGCCATGGGAAAGGAAAACAACTCCATGGCAGACTGAATAGAAAAGAGAGAGGGTACACAAGACTTGAGAAAAGCCCACCTCTGAAGCTACACTGCAAGGTGATACTCTCAAGGTATGAGTCAAAAGAACCCTCCATCCCCTCACACTCACCCCAGGTGGTCTCGTAGTGTAGAGTCTGTCAAAGGTCGGGCCATGCCCACAAACACTCCCTCACCTTTTTCTTCAGTTTGTTGAATTTCTTCTGCAGAGCCTCCTCCTCCTCGCTCAGTCCGGGGGGTATCACCAACATGGTGGTTCCTGGTTCAGGGGCAGGGCCCAAGACATCTTTCTCCACTGTCACCGCCCAGAGTTCACACGCCGAACACTATACCCAACCCCACCCCTTCAGGCCTGCCTACTTCTGTGTGTTGCTTCTCCCTACCCTTTTGCTTAAACCAGGCTGCCGTCCAAGACCCCGCTCGTCGGGGTCAACCAGCATTCCCTCCTCTTTAGAATCACGGACACCAGCGCCCTGGGGAACCACGTGGCCCGGGGAGAAACACCCCCTCCGTCGCCAAGACGATGGCACCAGACCCTCTCTACCTCCACTGGGGTTTGTATGGCAACCACGGGGTCCAAACCGTAGAGGCGGCACTGGAACCCGCACAGCGCTCTCAGAGCAACGAAAAACGGAAGAAGAGATCAGGAGTATGGAGAAAAGGGGCGAAGGGTGAGAAGAAGAAGGCCTTACCTGAGGGGGCGGCAACCCGGGCCCGCGGTTTCGGGCGGCGCCCGCACCGGCAGCAGATAGCCGGCTCAGAGCGATGACGTAGCAAGGGGCGGAGAAAGCGGTAACCAAGGCGTCCCGCGGAGCAGTCACTTCCGCCCGGCCTTCCACTGGTTTAAGGCACGCCGTCAGTAGCACTAGTCCACGCCCCCGAAGGGGTGTGTACCGGAAGTTGCCTCCATTTCCGCCTGTTCCGGGGCGGGGTTCCCACGGCTCCTAGTTGCATTTCTGGGCTGGGGCCGCACCGCGGCTCCAAGATGATCGAGACCGAGCGACTCGGTAAGGGGGAGGGGGTGGCACGAAGGAGTAGACAGGAATCGACCCTTGATCCCTGACCTATGACTTTCCTCCTGCAGCGTTACCTCCCCTAGACCCTCTGGATCTGCCCCTTCGGGCTGTGGAGCTGGGATGCACAGGGCGCTGGGAGGTGCTGAATGCGCCTGGGGCTCCAGAGAGCACCGTGAGTGATTTTGGACCCTAACCTTTGACCCTCTTCAGCATAAAACCTCTTTCTCACAGTAGGATCTGGCATGACTCACTCTATTGTCTCTGGACACCTGTCATTCTGGCCTGGAATGGTGCAGGACAGACTCCAGCCTAGTGGATCTGCTGTGGGTCAGAGCCCATGTAAGGACGAGGAGGGAGCGCTGGGGTACTTTAGCTCTGAGACCTACCTCCTCTTTCAGATGTGTCTTCTCTCATTTCAGTCCCCTTCTGTCTCCAAGCACTTGTTGGTGGCAGAGATGCTAGCTAGCCTTTGAGCCCCCGACTCTTCATCTTTAGGTCTGGGACCTTTTTTCCTAAAGCTGGTGATTCTCGAATTTCATTGCGCCTCATAATTAGTAAGGGAGCTCTTTTGAAATATGTATTCTTAAGTCCAGCCCAAGAATTTGAAGTCTAAAATCTGTGTTGTTAACTAGCGTCTTTGGTAATTCAGTAGCAGGTCGTTTGTCCTGTAAAGCATTACAACTTTTGGAAAATACTGCTTCACCTTGATTGTCCTAGTCTGTCTAGGACATCTACCATTTCTAGTCTAAACATGAATCCGTCACTTTCTCTCATTTTGCCCTTCTTCCAGCTTCCCCACGGCCTCCCTCCCTGTGCCCCAGATCTACAGCAAGAAGCAGAGCAGTCATTTCTGTCATCTCCAGCCTGGCTGCCCCTCCATGGTGTGGAGCACTCAGACCGGTGAGGGGCCTGGAAGGGTCTGGACCAGGGAGATGGGTCCCTGAAGGAAGCTGAGACAGAAGAGAAAGACAGAAAATTACTTCCTTCTCTCTAGAAAATGGCAGAGAAAGATGGATCCTTGGTCTCTCCTGGTTATATTGGGGGCCCCAGTCCCCTCTGACCTACAAGCCCAAAGACACCCAACCACAGGCCAGATACTGGGCTACAAGGAGGTAAGAGATCAGCGGCCACGAGAAGCAGAGTTGGAAAGAGGGGTATCAGAGGCGAGCTCAACCTCAGTGGGGATCTGATCCTTTGCCTTAGGTCCTGCTGGAGAACACAGACCTGTCGGCCACAACCTCCTTGTCTCTTCGCCGGCCGCCAGGACCCACCTCCCAGTCCCTGTGGGGGAATCCAACACAGTACCCTTTCTGGCCAGGTGACTCTTGTGGAAATGAGATGGTAGGGGAGGGAGCCCTCAGTCTCCAAGGAAGAGTTTCCCTGTCACTCTTTGAGAATCTTTATTTGTCCAACTTCTCCCCAGGTGGAATGGATGAACCCACCATGAGAGATTTGAGCACTCAGGAGGAGGCTGAGGAGGAGATAGACTTTGAGAAAGGTGAGGCAGTGCCAGGATGAACACTTGGGAGGCAGGCCTCCAAGATTGGGCCCTGAGGACAAGGGATCCAGGTCTATCATGGGGCTGCTGTTAGCCCTTCCATGCTTTGAGCCAATTAGGAAAAGGTACCCCTTCCATAACCCTTACTGTCATTTGTTGGGAAATTACTGCAACAGATGTTCCCAGCTATAATGTCTATTCTGTCAGTGATATCTTTTAGGTTTAGGAAGTATACAACTTGTACAACAGCATGTAGCGATCCTCATTCTCTCTGTCTTTATCCTCCAGATCTTCTTACTATTCCACCTGGCTTCAAGAAAGGCATGGACTTTGCACCAAAGGGTGAGTTTTGAGATGAGTTTTGAGTGATGCCCTTCTCCCATAGAACAGAGATGGAAATGAACAAGTCTCCTTTTTGCCTTGCTCCTCAGATCACCCAGCTCCAGCTCCTGGGTTGTTCAGTCTCAGCCGTCTGCTGGAGCCCCTGGATTTGGGTGGGGGTGATGAGTTTGAGAGGGAGGCAGTGGGACAGCCTGGAGGTACCAGAGAGGACAGTGTTTCAGCCTCTCCCTGCAGTGCTCCCTTGGCCCGAACAAGCAGCTTAGAGGATCTAGTGTTGAAGGTTGGTGCTTCTGGGCGGTGGAGGCAGGAAAGAAGGGGTCTTGCCACTGGGAGGGTGGTCTGGCTTGGTTGGGTCTAAGGGAAAGACTGGAGCATCTTCTGTGGGAAGTGGTAATGGAGAGCTTTCTGGCTGTATATCACACCTAACCCCGACTTTTCCAGGAAGCATCCACAGTTGTATCCCTGCCAGAGCTCTCCAAACCCCCACCTCAGGAACAGTGGGCCATTCCTGTGGATGTCACCTCCCCTGTTGGTGATTTCTACCGCCTCATTCCCCAGCCAGCCTTCCAGGTAGTGTGGGCCTGTCCTTACATGCTCCGCTGCTTCCTTCCAGCCCACTTCCTTGTCTCCTCTCCTTACCAGAAGCCTTCCAGGCCAGTCTTGGACCTCAGTACTAGCTTCGCCTCACTTAGGCCTTCTCCCTACTGCCCTGCATGCCCAGTGAGCCAGAGGCAGGAAGGCCCCCACTCTGTTCTTCAACTGCCATCTCTTTCTCTCTCCCACAGTGGGCATTTGAGCCTGATGTGTTCCAGAAACAGGCCATTCTGCACTTGGAACGGCACGACTCAGTCTTTGTGGCGGCTCATACATCCGCGGGGAAGACAGTTGTGGCTGAATATGCCATTGCCCTTGCCCAGAAGCACATGACGCGGTACAGGTCCTCTCCTCGACTTTCCCCTTCACCAGCCATCCCTGTTTTCTCCCTCATCCTTTCTAAACCTCATCTTTTCCTCAAGTCTTAAACTTCATTTTTTAGATGGGGGGTTTACGGGAAAAACTGAGACAGGGGTCCACAGAGAAATGAGAAGGTACAGGGAGAGAAGTTAGAAGAATGACCTGCGTGCACTTAGTTTAGGAAGGGGTTGGGGGACATTTTTCTGGGGTCATGTCATGAGGAGGGCAATTTGGGTGAAGAAAGGGGACACCTGAGCTAAGCAGCATGCTGCTGGGAAGGCTCAGGTTGGGAGAGGAGGGGCTGACCACAAGTCTGTGGGGGGAGACTGGCTAACTTCATGCCCTCTTCCCAGCACTATCTACACTTCGCCTATCAAGGCTCTGAGTAACCAGAAGTTCCGAGACTTCCGAAACACATTTGGGGATGTGGGGCTGCTCACTGGCGATGTACAGCTGCATCCGGAGGCCTCCTGCCTTATCATGACGACAGAGATCCTTCGGTGAGAGATGGGCACTCAATATGGGTGGATTTTTGGTTAGGAAGATGAGGCTGCTTTGGAGAGCATGTTGGCTAAGTTGAGGGTGGGGACAGGAACCACTGGGGAGTCAGCCTTTGGTCTTTTCTCCCCCAGCTCCATGCTGTATAGCGGCTCAGATGTCATCCGGGACCTGGAGTGGGTCATCTTTGACGAGGTTCACTATATCAACGATGCTGAGGTAAGGAGCATCATTGACCCCAGCAGTTCTTTCCTGTGGAGCTAGTTCAGCAGTTCCCTATTCCACACACCCTAAAATCTTACTATGTTCTTTGGCCCCCAAACGGAACCCTAGGAGCAGAAGGGCAGCCCCCTCTGAGCTGCCCGTGACTTGTCTTCCTTCTCTGTGTCCAGCGTGGGGTCGTGTGGGAGGAGGTGCTCATCATGCTCCCTGACCATGTCTCCATCATCCTTCTGAGTGCTACTGTCCCCAATGCCCTTGAATTTGCCGACTGGATTGGGTGAGACGTGTGTTCTGGGATGCTTGGGTGAAGGGGTTTATAGTATTCCTTGGTTGGGGTTGGGGGACAGAGACTGCCATATCAGGGAGAGTGATCAGGCCTTATGGGCGGAGAGGAGAAATGGTAGAGGGTGGGGAACATGGCCCACTTGGGCCCAGACCACTTTGCATGTTGAGAGATACAATGATGGAGACAGCCTTCTAATCCGGTTCCTAGTTTGGGTGAGGCCAAAAGGGGGACGGTGGTGACAGCCTTCTAATCCGGTTCCTAGTTTGGGTGAGGGGGACGGTGGAGGAGACATGAGCTGCTCCTTCCTACACTCCCATCTCCTTCTCACTCAGACGACTGAAGCGTCGCCAGATCTATGTCATCAGCACCGTCGCTCGCCCTGTCCCCCTGGAGCATTATCTTTTCACAGGGAACAGCCCCAAGACCCAGGGTGAGCTCTTCCTGTTGCTAGACTCCCGAGGCACCTTTCACACAAAGGGGTAAGCCAGAGATAGGGGAGATTCAGGGCTGGGTCTGGCTGGGTATGACTGTGATGGCTGCCCTCCACATACCCCAGGTATTATGCAGCTGTGGATGCCAAAAAGGAGAGGATGAGCAAACATGCCCAGACCTTTGGGGCCAAACAGCCCACACATCACGGGGGGCCTGCACAGGTAAGAACCAGCAGGCTTTGTACCCGTCACCACCTATTTCTTCCCATCCTTTCTTCCCTCATCTCCCAGGGTTTGGACTTAAGGTCTGAGCAGTGACTGTCTTGACATTTCTTTACTTTGGCCCCCATTGATTCAGGGACTCAACCTCTGTCCCTTTGCACCCCCTTCCGCAGGACCGTGGTGTGTACCTGTCCCTCCTGGCCTTCCTCCGTACCCGTGCGCAGCTGCCTGTGGTGGTGTTCACCTTCTCCCGGGGCCGCTGTGATGAGCAGGCCTCAGGCCTTACCTCTCTTGACCTCACCACAAGTTCAGAGAAGAGTGAGATTCACATCTTCCTGCAGCGCTGCCTTGCTCGCCTCCGTGGTTCTGACCGCCAGCTTCCCCAGGTATGGAGGGGAGACTTGGAGACTGCTGGGGA